CTGTCAGAACCTGCAGTCCCGGGAGCAGAGGGCTTTCTCAGACCCAAGTCCACCTTAGCTTGTACCCGAGAAGTGCTTGCCTGGGAGGGAGGAAATGCCTCCGTTCAAGATCCGGGACACTTCCCAGCTCTCGGTGTTCGTGTGAAGTGTGGAAGTGGGGGAAGAGGTCCAGGGCAAACCGGGACCCCGACTGGACAGACTGTGGTGCTCTGGGCTTGTTTTGGGGGAGGGGGGCCGACACTGTGGACCACCTACGCTTATGTACAGTCTCACTCCAAAGGGAAAACAAGATGCACACAGCGATGTTGCACACGCTGCCATTTATGTCAAAAACATATGCTTGTATGTGCACAGAATATCCCTGGGAGGGGCTGCTTAAATTCTTTATCTTTTTGCCGATGCTTTTATTTTATTTTAAATATGTTTTTATTGATTTTAGAGAGAGAGGAAGGGAGAGGGAGACAGAGAAACATCAGTACCATAGAGAAACATCCATCGGCTATCTCCCATATGCATCCCAAACAGGCATCAAACCCGCAACCTGGTCATGTGCCCTGACCAGGAATCGAACTGGCCACCTTTTGGTGCATGTGATGACGCTCCAACCAACTGAGCCACACCGACCAGGGCTTGCTGGTGCTTTGAATTGCCTAATCACAAAAACAAATTTCAGGTTTTTTAAGGTCCACACCATGTGTTGCAAGCGGGCAGGTGGCTGACTGATGGGGCAAGTGAGTGAATGCAGCGCTCCTGCCCTTTGATTTCTCTTGGTCAGAGTTCCGAAGGATGTCAGAGACTGGAGAGGGGCCCTCTGTCCCTGGGGAGACCACCCAAGTGTGAGGTGCTACTTGAATTTCTTTCTTAGGAAGAGCTTTTCCTTTTTCAATCATTCATTTTCTTGTTCTCCTGGACAAATACCTCTGGTTTGGAATCTGGAAGATCCTTCCTCTTACCCTTTGGGGTCTTTTGTCTTTTGCAAATTTTTTCTCTTTAGACTTTGAAGAGAATCAGCCCTCATCGATGACCAGCCTCATGTGAAGTTTTTGTTGGAATACTTATCTCTCTCTCTCTCTCTCTCTCTCTCTCTCTCTCTCTCTCTCTCTCTCACACACACACACACACACACACACACACACACACACACAGTTTCTGGGGAAATACTTCCCCCTTCTTCCTCTTACCTCTGACTCAAATGTTGATGGAGGGAGAAAAACTCCTGATGTTACAGTAGAATATTTGAGCAGCGGAAACCGTGTGCTAAGGAAGGAAGTCGTCTCCTAAGCTGCACTCTGTAGCCACTGATGTTGTAATAATATTTTTCTTAAATAACAAAGCTTCCTAACATGACTACCCTACTTCACTTGTAATCTCAGACAATTATTTCCATGTTAACGAGAGGAAATTAACACATTAAACAAATGAAATACAAACGATTCTTGCTTGCGGTTGTTTTGAATGCCTCTGTTAAGGAACTGCTTGTTATCATACTTCCATTTCCACCGTATTTATGGAACATCTCCTTTAGGGACACCCAGGAGGCTGAGACGGACCCTGCTTGCAGTACCATGGACGACTTTCTCTAGTTAGGTGTTGGGGGATGAGGGTGGACAGAAGAGACACCTGTGCAGAGAAGAAAGGAGAGATCGGTGCTGGGTGCAAGAAGGGGCCAGGGGGGAGAAAGAGACCTCGAGTGAGCAGAAAAACATGAGCCGACCCTCCACGGTGGAAGGGTTCGTATGTGTGCAGGACAGTGGTATGATATGATGGAGAGGGCGTGGGCTTTAATGTAAGAAAGGCCGGGCACCAATCCCGGTCTGTTGCTCACTAGCTCTGTGACTTCCAGGATGCCATGCTTAGTAGAAGTCCTTTTCCTGGTCTGCAAAATGAGTATGGTGATGTCTGCCTGGCGAGGCTGTGGTCGGGATCACGTGAGATAAAGAATGGCATGTGCTAACAATTGCTAACTCCCTCCACCACCTGGAGCAGTAAGAGGGGTCCAGTAAGAGGTAAGAGTGAGAGGTGATTGTAGGAGGAGTAAACACCAGGCTGAGGATTTGGAGCTCGGTCTCACCGGGCAAGAGGTAGGATATAAGGCCATGCTTTCATCCAGTCAACCTGGCAGTGGCCTTGGGGAGGACTGGCCTGAATGGAAGCTGGAGGCAGGGCCAGTGTTGCAGGGATCCAGTCATGAGGTAAAGGGAGCGTTCCCTAGAAGGTAGAGATGGGGCTCGATGGCTTAGTAGATAAAGGATGGGGAAGAGGAACAAGCCAAAGATGAACTTAGGGCTGAGGGCACCGACAGAAACCAGCAGGGCAGCGTGAACCCCAAGAGAGGAGGGGCACTGAGCACAGCTGGATCAGGAGGGACAACCGGATTCTAAAGGAAAGACCCTCTTGAGATGGAAGTCCTCAGGGGTGGTCAGCACTAGAGGTAGATATAGATTTCAGAGTCCAGCACTCAATGTGTGTGCACTCGTGCCTGCTGTGTGTGCCACTCAGAGCCGGAGCGGACCGCAGGGGCTCGGGTGTGGCCTTTGGCGGGGGACGCCTGTGTTGGAGGAAGAGTTCCCAGTGACCTGGAGCCGGAGCCGTGGGAGAGGGGGCAGCACAAGGAAGAGGGGGTTCACATGGAACAGGGCAGATCCAGTGCCAGATGTGATAATGAGTTACAGGGAAATGAGGTCTGAGACGAGGTGACTGGTTTTGGCGAGAAGGTGGCTTTTATAGGGGGAAGTTTCAGAGCCTGGTCAACACAGTTGATCCCCTTTCTGAGCAGCCATAGCCTTTCTCATCTATCCCATGTTGGCATTTGGTTTCTGATTGATTTATTCTTTCATAATTGCTATTCCCTATTCTTCCCTCATATGTACAGTGTGTCATGCTCCCCTTCCCACCCAAATGTGCACATGCGTGTGAGAATGGTCTTTTGTTCTCTCCACCTCTGCACCACCTTCTCCATCTCAGCAGAGGGCAAAGCCATGCCTGCAGGTGCTCAGGTCAAAAGCCTCAAGGTCATCCGGCCCCTCTCTTTCTCTCACACTCTACATCAGTGAATTGGGAAGCTGTCAGACCAAGCTGCCACCACCGATCAGCCCTGGTCCACGTGCACACGGTCTTCGCCTGGGTTACTGCAACGGCTTCCTCACTGGTTGTCGTGTTCCAGTCTGCCCTCAACCCCACAGCCAGAGTCTCCATCTCAAATGGTCATCGGACCACACCACGCTACTGCTCAGAAGCCTCCAACGCTGGCTCCCATTTCATTGAGTGAAAATGAAAAATCTTCCCCTGGCCCTACCTGACTCGGGTCCTTGCCGGTCCTGCCACATCTCCCGGCTCACTCTACTCCAGCCACGCTGGCCTCCTTGCTGTTCCTCCAACACACCCTCCTACCTTGAATGCTTCAGTGGCTTTAAGTCTCTGCTCAGCTGTCCTGGAGGCTAGGCTTCCCCACCACCTTATATGAAAGAGCAACCTCCTCCCCTGCCCGACTCCTGGTGCCTTCCATTGCCTTTATTCTGGCTTTTCCCCTTGGCTCTTATCTCCATCTGGCATGCTGTGCATTGCTTGTTTATCTATCTATCTTGCCCAATGAGAAGTATATCCTATGAAGACAGGGCGTTTGTTTTGTTTTTCCTATGAGCCCACTGCCTGGCACGTAGTAGATGATTCGTAAATATGAGTTGAATGAAAGAGAAGGGAAACTTACATTGACAAGCTGTGTGTTGGGCACTTGCACGTTTACCATTTGGTCTCCACCACCATCTTCAGAGTGTTATTCCTAGTATGTAGATGAGAAAACCGATAAATACATATCCAAATCAATATTTGTTCTTTAAACTGGGGATTCAGAATGGAGGCAGAGGGCAGGGCACGAGTAGATCTTTTTGACTTTGATTTGCTCCCATTCATTCATGCATAAAATATTTAGGAAGCACCTGTATATGGCAGGCCCTCTGCTAGTTTCTGGGGATCTAAAATGGAATAGAAAACTATTCTTGATCTCTAGCCTTATGGTGGAAACAGCCATGTATAGAGTGATGTGCTAAGTACTACAAGAGAGCCAGGAATTCATTATTCAGAAAGTATGAATAGGAAAGTGCTTAATTCTGGAGAACTCAGAGGAGGCTCCCTGGAGGAGGAGACTGTTGGGGCCAATCTCTTTGAATGAGTGCTATACATTCAAGAACATTGGCTGTTCCATGGAAGGATAAAGCCCAAGCTTTTGAGACCCTCCACAATCCAGCCTTCACCTGCCTCACCAGCCTCATCCCCTGCCACCCCTTCAGCATGAACACAAACTGCTCATTATTATTTCCTGCGTTGTGATGCTGTTTCCTACCCTTGCACATGCTATTTCCTCTCTTTGGAACACTTTCCTCCCACCCTTTTTTTCTGTGTGGCTCTGTTCAGCATCATCTCCTCCTCAGGGTGGACCCGGGCCTGTCTTTGAGCCCCACAGCCAAACTCACTGTCACATTTCTGTAACGCCCTCCAAGCCATACCGTTTGAGGACAAATGATCTCAGTCACCTTTGTTCTTGCTGCTCTGTGGTATCTTGGACCTGTCCCAGGGTGGACCAACCTGAGCCTGTGCTAGAGGAGAGAAGGGGGCATGAAGGCTCGGGGAGGCCCACGTGTGATGAGAGCAGCCGTGGAGTGGGCCAGTCGAAGGAGCTGAGGAGAGCAGGAGCCCAGGTCCCAGAAGGTGGTGACCAGGACACAGAGGTGATCCTGGGCCAGTGATGGTGAACCTTTTGAGCTCGGCGTGTCAGCATTTTGAAAAACCCTAACTTAACTCTGGTGCCGTGTCACATATAGAAATTTTTTGATATTTGCAACCATAGTAAAACAAAGACTTATATTTTTGATATTTATTTTATATATTTAAATGCCATTTAACAAAGAAAAATCAACCAAAAAAATGAGTTCGCGTGTCACCTCTGACAGGCGTGTCATAGGTTCGCCATCACTGTCCTGGGCGGTGGAGGTTTATACGGGCAGATGAAGGGCCCTCAGAGGGCTCCCTCACAGCTGGGCAGGGGAGGTCCAGAAAAGCCAGGCCTCCTGCTGCGGGACATCAGCCCGGAGCCATCTGTGCACACGGGTGTCCTGCTGACGACCCAAGTGAGGTGCCTGGGAGCTGGCAGATTGGCCACTGGTTTGTGGGAATATTACTGCCAGCTCCCCACACACCTGGGCTGCCTGTCCCTCGGCCTGGCCACCTGAATGGAGGGCTCTTTCTCAAGCTGGACAGAAACACAGCAGCTGCAGCTGGAGGAGCTGTCCCAGAGCCTGGGATGGTTAAAAACAGAATCCGTGCTGAACACCTTGCCGCAGTCCTCCTCAGGCAAGTAGCAGTAGAACCAAGATTCAGACCCTGGCATTTAGACTCCCCAGCCCACATCTTAACCACTATTAGTGAGAAGGAGGGACTGATACTGTACATTAATGTAATAGAGCTGCCTCGGTGTTCACTGTGCTTAGTGCAGGTGTGTGTGTGTGTGTGTGTGTGTGTGTGTATGAGAGAGAGAGAGAGAGAGAGAGAGAGAGAGAGAGAGAGAGAGAGAGAGAGAGAGGTGTTGCAGGGGAGGGGGTTTGTCTCTATGGGGAAACCTGAATCCAAAGCTCCCAGACTCAGGAAAGTTCCTGGGGCTGGAATGCAGGGGAGACCTGAATGCAAAGCTCCCAGACTCAGGAAAGTTCCTGGGGCTGGAATGCAGCACCTGGCTCATGGCAGGCATTGAGTATTTGTTAGATGGCTCCAAGGATGTTTGGAGAGATAAATAGATTTCTGACCTAGGCGTTGGGAGAAGGGGGTTCAAGCTTTAGCAGACTGTAGTGTGCGGCTCTGGCCTAATCCCAGTCCCCTTCTCGGGGAAATGGAGGTGCTGGGAATCAACATGATTTCACCCCAGGCCGAAACATGAGGCACAGGTTGAGATCTGGGCTGGAAGACAGCAGCCTGCTGTGCTGACCCAGGCTCTGGGCAGCCCTGGCTCAGGAGGCATGCGTTTGGAATTCGGATCAGATGCTGCCATCACTGCTGGGACTGGCTGGGAAGTGACCGTGGGCAGTGGGGACACAGGGTGGAGAGAAAATGTCTTGGTTCATCCTGGGCACCCCAGGGCCCAATCCCCTGGGTGAGGAAGGGCCGGGCTCTCCTTCCCCTTGGATTGATCAGACAGAGGGTCCCCAGCGCTCTGCCCCACGACCCCGAGGAGGGACAGGCCTCCAAAGCCGAGCTGACCTGCTGCTGCAAGGAGTGTGGCATCTGATTTCACCCCCCACTGCTGGCAGCGCACGATCGATATTTTTTGTGGTGCAGACAGAGTAAAGAGAGAATAAAGTGTTGAATTGTTTGGCATTATCAAGGATTTCAGCTCCCCAGGACTCCTGCATAAAGAGATGGAAATATAGCTGCTGGAGCCAAGAAACACACAGAAGTATATGAATTTATTACAGATTATCTTTCCTCCTTCCAAGCAGCCCTAGAAATGTCAAAAGATCATCTATTGTTTCACTGTTGATTAAAAAAAAAAACAGTTTGGGTTTAGTGGTCTCTGGGTGTGGGCAAGAGTCAGGCAGTGGGAGAGGAAGACAGAAGTGTTTCTCAGGGCAACCTTCGGGAGGCCCCACCACCTTCTAATTCTTCCTTTCTGGGTGTTAGTTTCACATGTGTAATGTAGGCCAGGGCAAGCATGGAATTACACATTTGCACGCTTGTAAATGGGTAAGTGCCCACTGTGTGCAAGGTTGTGTGTGGTGCTGCTGGAGACCCCCAGGTGTGTTAGCAAGCCCGTGGCTGCAAGGAGCTCAGGGCTTGGTGCTGTCTGACTGTGCTAAGGGTGGTCATGGTATCCCAGACACAGCGAACTCTGCCTACCTGCAGAATCCAGAGCAGGGGTGGCTACACTGCCTGGATTCCTGGAGGAAATCCAGGAGGGCTTCACAGAGAAGGTGACATCTGAGCTGGACCTTGAAAGATGAGTAGACAGAGGAGGGAGCAAAGGCATCTCAGGTAAAGAGAGGAAAGCATGATGCACAAGTTGAAAGGCCACATTCAGCCACCAGACCTGGAAGTCTGGCCTAGAGAGGCCGAGAGTACCTGAGCCAACTCTCTGGCCCTGAGCTGACCCAGACCCTGGCAATCTTAGGCTGTGTCTGATTGGAGATCTGCTTCTCACACTCTCCTGGTGCTGATAGGGCTGTAATTCTCCACCTGCGAGGCTCCCATTGACCACCCCTAATGCCCTCAGCAGATGGCTCAGACCTGCAGCTGGACTCAGAACCCTCCAGGGAAGAGGCGGGCCTTTGGCTCACCTCCCTGCTGCCCTCCTTTGGCTGAAGAAAGGCTGACTCTTGGTGAGCTCTTGGCTACCCCATGTACTGGTGCAGTGATGGGGCCAAGGGGATTAGGTCAGGCGCTCCAGGGTCAGGGCTGTCCTCCGCTCAGCCCAGCAATCTCATGTACATCCCGCTACCTGATGGGAAAACAGGGCAGGCAGATGGGCCAGGAGCTTGATGGCCTTTCTTCTTTCTGGTTGGACATTTCGTCAAAGAGAGGCCCACTATCCCCTCCTTCACACCCTCTCCACCTCTTTTCCCAGCAGGGCCTCGGAAGTCAGGGCATGTCTGAGTCTTAGGAAACCTTGGAGTCAGACGAACGAACCTGCGGAGCAGGTGGTTGTCCAGCTCCGAGCCCTGCTCGCTGCTCCAAAGGCGCTGTTTCACGGTGGTCTACTCTTCCTTTGGTTAAGCCAGCACCTTCCTCCTATGGCTCCCCCTGAGGGTAGATCTAGGAGCATGCACACCTCAGAGGTCAGGCCTCTGTCCAGCCTCTGGAAGGGGTGCAGGCCAAGTGGACCCGCCTCCCCGCTGTGGACCCAGGCCGGCCCCAGGCACAGGAAGCGTGAGGGGCAGCAGTGAGTGTTCCCTGCCCAGAGCCAGCACTGGTCTGACCTGTGACGGTGAGACCCGGCGCTGCCTAGGCCGCCTCCGTGGTGACTGAGGGAGCCCAGCACTGTGGCCTCTAAGGTGCCTCCGACTCAAAGGCTCCTCCTCCATCAGAAAACTGCCACTTAAACATTTCTTCTTCTGCGTCTGGGAAATGGTGACAGAAACGAGGACAACGCTGAATCAGCACCCCAGACTGTGGAGGGAACTGGCTCCGTGTTGGGACCAGCGCTGGGAAGGTGACACAGATGAAGACAACACCCAGGCCGCTCCCTCCTGGAGGGGCGGAGTCTAGCGGGAGAGGCAGCTGTCAGGCCCTCGGAGAGCAAGCAGAGGGCCTGTGTTTGCGTGGTCACTGCAGAGCCCTCGCCCGCTTCCCTCACACAGGCAGGCGATACCATCTGAATGAGGGGCATTACGCCAGTCAGTTCCCAAAGGCTTCTTAGAGAAGGCGGGTATTGCCGTTTCCAGGGGGAGGGACATGGATGCAGGGACCCTCTGCACGTGTGGGGAGTAGGGCCGGGTGAGGAACCTCGGCAGCCCCGATGGACCCGACGGCTCGGGCCTATATATAGCTGGCTACTCAGACGGGGCTGCCATGAAATGGGCTCACTGGGCAGAGACCAAGAAGGGCTGAGGCCCTGACCGCAGCCCCGGCCCCAGGACCCGCCTCGCTGGGCTCTGGCCCCGAAAGGAAGGCTTTCCATTCTCTTCCCTGACCCCCCTTGCTTACGGGAAGCTGGCTGTTATCTTAAGGTCTGTAAATGGCCGGCTGCTTTTGCAGCTGGAGCGATTCGTTGAGAACAATTAGCACGCAGTTTTGAGCTGGAATGGAGCATATGGCAGGAGGTCCCCGGGAGCCAGCAAGGCGCAGCCAGAGAAGGAGGGGAGTGGCCGGGGGCAGGGCAGGAGGGGTGCTGGGAAAGGGCGGGCTCCAAGCCTGCCACCTGGTCCTGGTGCCCCTGCTCTAGTACTGGAGGGGGCGGAGGTGAGGGCTGTGCAAATGCCATTTGCATCTGAGGTCATGAATACATCCAACGTCCCTTAAATTGGCATTTTATGTCAAGAGATTGAAAAGCCCCTAAGCCCAGAGAATGGCCTTCTCAGAGAACTTTGGGGCAAATACCCAGGGGTCTGGACTGGGGTAAGGGCATTTATCCAGGCACCCTTTGATATTCTTTCATCCACTAAATGGTGGCTGAGGGCCTACTATGCGCCAGGAGCTGTCCTAGGCATTACTCTGTGAAGAAAACAAACCAAGATCCCTGACCCCATGGAGTTTCCACGCTAGTGTGCAATGACATAACATGAAAGTAAACTGCTGAGCATGTGAGGGGGCAGATTAACCTCCGAAATCAACCTTCTAGACCAGTGGTTCTCAACCTTCCTAATGCCACGACCCTTTAATACAGTTCCTCATGTTGTGGTGACCCCCAACTTCATTGTTGCAAATGGAACATAATTAAAGCATAGTGATTAATCACAAAAACAATATGTAATTATATATGTGTTTTCCGATGGTCTTAGGCGACCCCTGTGAAAGGGTCATTCCACCCCCAAAGGGGTCGCGACCCACAGGTTGAGAACCCCTGTTCTAGGTAAACATTGCAATGTCCTTTTTACCTGCAAAGTGATGGAAATTAAAAATTAAAATTCCCCCTTTAAAACAGCCAATTTTCATAGACCACTCCCCCCCCCCAAAAAAAACCCCCACAAAAAACAAACACTGTTCAAATTCTCTGAGCTAGGAAGTGGCAAAGTCTGGATTTAAAGCATCTATCCCAATGTCTGTGGCACTCATCTTGCCTCAAAGATGGACAAGATGCCCGCGGCCACCTGAACAGCCCCATGTGGTCTGGGTGGACAATAGAATCTCATAGACTCCCCAAGTGGGGAAAGCTCAGAAATTGCCACTCTGGCCCCAGCCTCTCACAGTGGGAAATGACCTCTGGAGATCGAGTGACCTGTCCAAGGTCACATGGTTGGTCACACTGTTATAGAACTGGAGCCTGAAGGTCCTGACCTGCAGGTACAGGTTCTTTATACCAAACCAAGCTAGCTGGTCAGGTTTCTCAGCAAGCCCACAACTGTGTTCTCAAAGAGAGCCAGCCTCCTCCAACCCCTGCACCCCTTCCCCCTCAGAGACCTCACCCATTCCTCTGGGCTCCACC